CTTGAAGATTAACATTTTTACTGAATCATTGCGTATCTTTTTTACCTATAAATCAAACGTCAGTTTTTCCTGATCCTAAAGGAGTGGCTGCAATAGCCAGGTGGTTATGCTCACGAAGGGGCCGACGTTGTCGAGTCACAGGTTCGATTCTTGATACCACAGAACATCAACCTTGCAGTGCGGAGGATGCACGTTAAATTTTTTGTGGCTCCAAATCCTCCCATTGGCGTGATGTGGAATACGAAAAGGGGAAGGGGGCAACTTAGCTATCACCTCGTCACTTGACCGAGATTCAAAAGTACGAGGTCCGCCAGTCCGAGGTTTGAAAAGGAATCTATAAGCAAATATCCTTCGTGTAAACACTCTCAAGGTCATTTTACTGTATTCCAAAGCCTTCAAAATAATTTTATGGATAGCAGTTCACAGAATAGATGATACTTCGAAAAGACGTGTATATACGTCTAAGGCAATTAACCCACTGGATGAGCGAGACGTTTATATACGCCGGCGGTACTTAAGAGGTTAAAGTGGTTTTGTAGGTTAGGCGTCAAAGTATAGTATTATTGAATTTAGTACATTACTATTTGTAAGGAGGGAGGAGGGATGTATGAAAATTATGATTGAATATTGGGTCTCAAATATTGAAAGTTTGTAAAGCACTGGTTTAATATTAGAAATTGACTTTTTAAGCTAACCCCCTTTTCTAATTTTGTAAGGCACCCCGTCAGGGGCGCCCCACTTCTACATTATCCTCGTGACCTAGATCTGTGGGAAGGAACAAAGAAGCAGCCATATTGTGTGTGTGTTTATCTTAATATATCTCTTTATTAAGATCTTAACTTAAACACGCTATTCGTATTACCACATAATCGCGTAACCGACTACCATATCTATAAGTTTACCGACTATTTCTAACTTCAGTAACTACACAGTTCTTAATAACTTAATTTAGCAGTCTTACCTCTATATCTTGGGTAAACAGCAATTCGCTTGATTCTAACTGATGTGGCTTTTATCCTTGTGGAATGGTATCCACCTTTAACTTGATCGCACAGGTACGGATAATTTAAATCTTGAACTCAGAATTTCCTCTCACTTTAACTTAATAGAGTTTAGTCATAAACATAGATCTCATATATTTACTTCTCATAGCTACCCCGCGTACGCTAAACTTCTACTATTTACAAAATTCCTTATTTAAATATTCACGTTTCTCTTCTCGAGTTGGTTTGAAAGAATTACCATTCTGGCCTCAAAGAAACCCAAAAAGAATAATTAGTTTAAATCGCGATGAGCCCGTCACAATTTTTAAATTGGAACAGATAAAGTATAAATATAGAAAAAGAATTTAAAAGTTTCAATTTCTAATATTAAATCTTTGCTTGGAAAGCTTTGCTTTACTTATCCTATTACTTAAAAGAGTAACTTAAAATATCTATTACTTAAAAGTAACTTAGACAAAACTTAATACTTATCTTGATGATTTGCACAGCTTACAATTGAGGTCGCATTGTATATAATTGCATTCAATACATTATTATTGTATGGTGTGTGAAGAGTGATGAAAATTATGACTGAAAGTTGGGTCGCAAATATTGAAAGTTTAAGAAGCACTGCGTTTAAAAGCACTATGTTTAACTCTCAAAGACAATATTTTTTTTTCAAGTTAGAGCCCCTCTCCCTTTTTCCTGGGACTAAGTTCCGGAAAAAAAAACTTTAAAAACTGTCAATTTCGTCTCTATTGCTCTGTTCTTTTTCCCGGGGAAACTCAGCTTACAATTCAGGGAGCAGAAATTCTCCCCTCGACAAAAACCGTGTTTCTTTGACAGTTAAAACATTTTCGAAGAAAAGATTTCTCCTCCCTTCCCTCACTTCCTTTCCAATCGGAAATGAAGATGAAGAGAAGATGCACTTTGACGGGAGGGTAGACGAAGAGGCGGTTTGAAAGGTTTCGAACGGTTGAGACTCAGAACACTGGAATTTTAGAAATAAAATGTCAAGGTACAAGAGGATACGAAAGGAAAAATATTTAAATGTCATCTTCTTTGTTGAAAGTCAGCCGAGATGGAAGTAACAGCACACGTGTGCAGTCGACGTCACACAAGTTTTTGAAATATCTAATCTCACATTCGTTCTTACTTTTTGGAATCTTTTTCCCACTGAGATGAAATAAAATAGTACATGTGAAACTGTCAAAAAAGGAGAAGAAACTATTGTATCTCCTAACATTACAGGTATGTCGAACTAAGATGTCAATGTAATAATAAACGAATCAATGAATTTAGTTAACTTTTAAGAAGAAATTTTCTTTAGAGATACTATTGTTTGTTTTCCAACAATATAAGATTGGTTTTCAATATATTTTTTTATTTCTAATGGGCTGCGAATTGGTCATTAACCATTGCAGACCGAGTGCATCTCCCGGAAGCTGGTATCACTTTTTAGAGCGGCGCCCTATAGATGGATAACAATCGCCGCAGGAAATTTTGACGCCCAGTTTCCTCCCTAGAGGGAGGCACCTGAGCTCTGACGATGCTTTGTCAATAGAATGTAGTAAATGCCATACAGCAGGGATGATGAATCAGTGGCACGCATGCCATCAATGGCACAAGACACAATATTTTGGATACGCCAGTGATCAAAATTTTTTTGCATTTTATTTCAAAATAACAAAGTTCACTCTGAAGTATTATGAACAAACGCGAGTGATCGGTCACAGAACGGCTGGGAGCACATTCGTTTGTTATTGTCTTGCCTTGGTTACGTCGTGGACTACAGCTGCTTATGATGCAAAATTTGTCTACGCATAGTATAGCCAATTTCTTTGACACAACTGTATTTTAAAATTTATTTGTGTTATATTTACGATTTTGAATTGTTATTTAACATGGCTAGTTCAGCAAAAGAACAAAAAGTGCAAGATAGTAAGTGTAACAGAGAATTTCAGACTTGGTGAATCTAGAAATATGGCTTTATTAGTGAAGGCAAGAAAGCGGCGTGTTTTTTGTTCTGGAACAATGGTATGCAGAGCATCGTCTGTAAAATAGCATTTTGAAACAAATCACAAATCCTCTTGTCAAAAAAGTGAGCCACAGCAAAAATAATTAAATTTTTTAGAAACCATTTGGAAGGTGACTTCCATTCTATATCTCTCTCTCTCTCAGCATGCATTCTATAAAAAGATACGTCTTTACAATCCTAATATGTCATCCAATCTGGAACACCAGAAGTCACACTAATGTTACTTTAATTTGAACAACTCGCATAACCAAAACATTCACAGCTATACAGTGCAAAAGGTATTTTTCGTAGTAAATACTTTTGAGTTAGTATTTAGTTTTATAGTTTTCTTAATAGTCATACAAGTCAGAATTATTTGACGGCACGTCCATATCTCATTCAACACTTCTTTAGAAAAAATGGCACGTTAATCTATAAAGGTTCACCACCCCTGCCGTACAGTGAAATAGGTTTAAATCGAAAACGCTTAAGACGAAATATCGGTTAAAACTGAATAATACAGTGGTCCTGACATAGTGTTATGTATTTTCATGCATTTTTTCTCTTAGCACAAAAAATGTCCTTTCTAGGAATAAACAAAATATGGAAAACCCCAACCGGATTGGACAGTCATTCTGTATCATCGGAAGAATTCGTTGCAATAGATGATGATAATGGGCGTACAGCCCCAATGAGGGAAGACAAGGACATTTTGGAGTTTGTTGAAAGATAAAAAAAAAATATATCATTGATGAAGATTCCAACGATGAAAATGAAATGAATAATCAGCTCCTGTGTGTGTGTGTTCCCTCCTCATCCAAAAATTAGGAAAGTCCTGAAAATATGTTCAGCTTAGATGTACATTTTTTATGGTGAAATGAATAACAAAATGGACGACATCGAACATTTTGTTAACAATTTAATGCTAAAAAAGACAATGCAAGGAAAAATATCCGATTGTTTTCCAAAAACTCAATAAATGTATATTTTCTCAAAAACTTTGAAATTTTGTATTAAATTTTATTCAGGCCTTGTGAATGTATTTGTTTCATTGATTTTTATTAAATACGTGCACATATACATATCTCTGTCAATAAAATATACTCTAATAAGCTTGATTTTGGTGAAATATGTTTCTTTTCTTTTATTTGATATTTCCATCCCCTCAATTTTGTATGAAACGTTTTACACCGCATTTCATAATATTCTACATACAAGTTTTTGATTTACATGATTTAGTACAATAAAAATCTGAAATCTATTTCTACTTACTTGAAAGGCCGCTGTAGCCTAATGGTTAGGGTCCCGAACTCGTGGTTGGCGTGACATAATTTCGAATTTTGGTGACACTGAAGACCCACTGATTAGAAGGGCTGATACATGTTAAATATGTCGATCTCGAAGTCCTCACGTAGGATTCGTGTGGTAGTTTGGAGAGGAGGTGTCAGCTCAGGTCTTTCTCGTCCATTGACCGAGGCTCAAAATTTCGAAGACCGTCGTCAATAAGCCTCATTTTGCTTGAAAGTGCGGCCTTAATGAAACTCACTCATTTTCTAATTGTTTGATTTGCACTAAAATGTGCGTTAACTGATTATTCTCGTAATTTCCTTTATCGAAATTGTGATGAGTGAGGGAACACTTACGTCACACTGTTCCGTTACACGAGGGCTTTTGGTGACGAACCGCGTAATTTTAAACCATGATCAAATGACGAGGGCAACACCTGAGCTGTCATCTTCCTCTCCTAACTTCTGCGCCACACCAACGGGAGGACGTTTAAGCTTTCGACAGATTTAGCATGCATCGCTTCCCTACACGGCGGGTCATCTATGGTACTGTGCTCGAATTCATAAAACGTCGGTTACGAGTCCGTTACCTGGACCACTAAGCCACCACGGTCACTCGAAGTTTTGATGAAAGAGATAAAGTAATTTGCTTGCTAGGAACCTCATAATATCTATGCGCATTGAAAGATTGTTTCCATACAATCGAATTGCGCAGTTTTCAGGTGGTTACTCTCCCAAGTACTGACCACGCTCAATGATGTTTAACTTCGATGATCGGAGGAGAGCCGGTGCTTTCAGCTGGCACGCAAGTGGTTTTAGCAGTATGTTGTTGGACACAGAATGGAGCCTAATAATCCATAATGATGAGTCCTCTACTATTAAACAAACTTACCAAAAACTTGCTAGAATCATTAGAAAACTAATCAAAAAAGATTATAAATAATTGTTTTTCAGTTAAAAAATTACACACAAAATTTTATATATATATATATATATATATATATATATATATATATATATTATAGTAAAATATATATATATATGAAGAAAAATATGATAAAAAATACATTTACAAGAAAAAAATTAAAAGAGTAACATATAAAATATATATTTTAGATATTTAAACGTTCTGTTTTTTCTTATTTCGCAAATGAAAAAACGAATATCGGTAGCTCAAGAAGCAATTGAAAACATTAGTATTATCTCTAAAATGATTTTCCATGACTGAAAGTTTACTAACGTAGAACTTAAAAGCTACACAAGGGCGACAGAACTCGAAATTTTAGTCAAGTGACGAAGAAACAACCTACTTTAAACTTCTACACCGGGTTAAGATGAGCAATTTCCTCCTGGACTGATTAAACATGCTTTAAACCTTCTAAATGAGGGTCTTCAGTGGCATTAGGACTCAAACCTACGACTCATTAAAGCCACGAATAGCAACCCTTACAACCGCAGTTACGCAATCCCTATTGAAGGGTGTTATAGTAATTAATTAGTTATTTCACTTACAAGGGTGTATTCAAAAATAAAAGTATCTAGTAAGCAACTAGCCGTTAGATATCTAAGTCCTTGATAAGCAAAATATATCAAAGTTCGAGGATTAAGCTTTCGATTAGCATTAAAAATATATTTAGAACACTCGCTTCTTGATTTATAGGACTTGCGTTTCGAAGACAAAAGTATATTTGTCTTTTATGTAAGCCCCTCGGCCCCGTCCCCAGTCGATTTCCCAAAAACCCATTTTTAATTTCAACTCAACAAAAGAAAAATGCTTTGAAGCCTGAAGGTCTATAGTTTGAAAAAAAAAGGGAATTTTTATTTATATCGCCGCCTTAACCCTCTTATAGGAGTTTATTTTCGATCAACCTATTTTTGAAGAATTCCCTACTCTACAAAAACATGTTTAACAAATTTCACGTTTGTGGGTCTAATGGTTCAAGAAATGTAATTTTTTTATTATCAAAAACTCCCCCCATTATTCGCCTCAAGTTCCCTTGGGAGTCGAGTTCTGCAAAACTCGTTCTGATCGAGTCTCTACTTAACAGAAAAAACATGCCTACCAATTTTCAAGTTTATAGGTCTAATAGTCTCAGACATCTCGTAATGAGTGAGTAAGTGAATAAATAAGTCGCTTTTCTCTTACATTTATATACGAGGGGCACCCCAAAATAACTGGAACCGAGTTGTTGCGCGCACGCATTCTTAGTAGTTATGAGTTGTAGTGTTGAGTGGTGTTTAGTTGGGGGTCTTCGGTAACTATTAGTAAGCTGATATCAGTCTGAGTTAAGTAGATTGGTTGTGGTGCTCTGTTGTATATGTTCCTATTTCAGCCCTTTGGTGGTTAATGACAGTCGACCACAAAGAACTAAAAGTGGGAGTAAAATTTTGCTTCCTGTTGGTTTTAAATAGCAGTCGAGACCGTTGGGGTGCTTCGGGAAGCCTTTAATCTTGATTTTTTGGGAAAATCCCCGGTCAAGGAGTGGGCTTCCCGTTTCAAATCTGGTTATAAATCAACTGAAGACATGGCAAGCCCAGGACGTTCTTCGACTAGAAGAAATGACAAAAACGTTGCAAAGAGAAACATGCAATTGATAAAGATCGTCGAAAGACTATTGACGAAATTTCTGATAAAACGAACGTGTCACTGAGCACGTTTATGACAACACTCCAACCCACACACCTTTCACGGTCCGACAGTTTTCCGCAAGCAACAACATGGTGCTTGTGTCTCATCCACCGTACTCACCCAATCTCGCTCTGTCGGACTTATTTTTTGTTTCTGGAAGGTAAACGATCCAGTAACGAGGATAAATTCAAAGAAAACACGCCAAAGGTATCCTGCCATAAATGTATTAAGCAGAGATAAAAGTGTTGGAACAAGTGTTTTAAGTGGACAATACTTTGAAATAGACTAATGTATAGCTCACCAAAAATGCAAACTAAAAAAATAACAAAATAAATTCCGGTTATTTTTAGGTCCCTTCCCCGTCGTATATATATAAACGGTGTTTTTTTAGAGGTATAGAACTTTAAATTGCAATAAAACAACGATGTATTATTCGATTGACATGAATTTTTTTTTTATTCGAAAGATTATCTTGTGGCATTCCATTTTAAATATGATCAAGCAAGGCGTAGATTCGTCGAATGGGTCCAAAACGAGATTGCCGTTGTTCCCGATTTTCATAAGCGAATTTTGTTTAGCGATGAAGCGCACTTCTGGTTGAATGGCTACGTCAACAAACAAAACTGCCGCATTTGGAGTGAAGCTAATCCACAAGTGTATTACCAAACACCGTTACATCCAGAAAAACTGACTGTTTGGTGCGCTTTATGGGCTGGTGGAATCATTGGTCCGTACTTCTTCAAAAACGATGAAGGCCACAACGTTAAAGTCAAGGGTGATCGGTATACAGCCATGATTACTAACTTTTTCATTCCTGAATTGAACAATCATGATGTCCAGGAGATGTGGTTCTAACAAGACGGCGCAACATGTCACACAGCTCGTGCTATAATCGATTTATTGAAAGACACGTTTGGTGACCGCCTAATTTCACGTTTTGGACCTATGAATTGGCCTCCAAGATCTTATGATTTAACACCGCTAGACTATTTTATGTGGGACTATGTAAAGTCATTGGTCTATGGGGATAAGCCACAAACACTTGACCCTTTGGAAGACAACATTCGCCGTGTTATTGCCGATATACGGCCACAAATGTTGGAAAAAGTCATCGAAAATTGGACGTCCAGATTGGACTACATCCGAGCCAGCCGTGGCAGTCCTATGCCAGAAATCATATTTAAAATGTAATGCCACAAGATTATCTTTCGAATAAAAAAAATTCATGTCAATCGAATAATACATCGTTGTTTTATTGCAATTTAAACTTCTATACCTCTAAAAAAACACACTTTACGCTTTGATTTCTTACTAAAGATAGTATCGCCCATCCGGTATAATGGTTAGGGACGTTGACTGCTGTGCCGTTGGGCCTGGGTTTGATTCTCTGAAAAGACATGGATGTTTGCAAATGTATAGTGCCTTCGCGGCATGAGGATATGTTAAATAGCCGTCGAGCCGCATGTCCTCTCGTGAGATTGGGGAAGGAGAAGAGAGGGGGAGGCCCCTGACCCCCTCAGGGTATTCTCCCTCAAAATTGGGGTGAAACTGAGCTAAATCGTTCTGTCACCTGTATGGTGCTTAAAGCTACGGATAACTGACAGGCGTCACTTAGCCCTTTGCCGTGTTGAATTTCGTAGGCCTTGATCTGGCCTTTGTCGATCAGGTGGCAGTAGTAACAACAACAACAACTAAAAATAGTAATTCAAAAAAAGCTCTGTATATTGCATTAAAAAAACACTGATACTAAATACTCCATTAAGTAAACACTATATAGGAATTGACATGTTGAAATATCACAAGGAGAAAAGAAAGAAAAAAAAAAGACTTCAAATTAATCCTTTGTTCGAAGTTATCTGGTATATTGGACTTAACAGTTGTATCGACTCCCTCTAAAATTAATGATTGGATTGGACTGAAATTTAGAACACATGTCCGAACACATTTTTTGAAAAAATATAGATTATTAAAACGACCTCAATACTCTTAGCATAGATTATCGAATCTTTTTCTAATCTGTCAACGTTATTATTCTTTTCCTAAGTCCAGTTTTCAGCGTGGTTTCGTTTTTATTCATAAATAATTACCAAAAAAGAATAAATTCTCATCCAAAAATAAATAGATAAAACTTATTTTCAAAAACTTCATCGTGCGCTATTGCTCTTTCTTAGTTATCACTTAATTCATATTTTCTTTACATTGTCTTGCAAGAGAATTTTACGTATAAAAAAATAGGAAAAAGTTTTTCGTTTTTGAATCTTCGGAATATTTAAAATTAAACATTGATTGTATTTACACACGCACGCACGCACCCATACGCACATACACACACAGTAATTGCTCCTTTTCTTAATATCTATTCAAACGCTAAAGTAAACTATAAAGTAAATTAGTACTAACAAATAATTAAATTTTACGTACTACATACATAGAATTATAATCAATCGAAAAATAATCAAGGGTGAAGGGGTCCTGAACCATACCCTCCCCCTTGTGTGCTCTATTGATCATGACCAACATCTATCCCAATTTTTGAATATCTATGGGTTTCTCAAACTATGGGTCACGCCCCCCCTAGAGAGGCGTGATAACCTTATGAGTGAGGCACGAGCATATCGAATAGTCGAAAATAAAATATTATTTAAAAAATTATTAATTTACTGTAAGTAAACAAACAAAATACATTCTGACATAATAAAAAATAAAATATAAATTTACACTAATATAAATGTATCAGCACTTCACAATTTATTTTATAATTAATTTAACAATACTAAGTTAAAAACAAGTTTAATAATTACCAGTGAACCCATGAGCTTGTCATACATAAGAGGTTGTCATGGGGAGAGGGGGTAGAAAAGGAATATAAATAAACAAATCCTCTGAAATAAGTAAATCCGTCGCAAACACTGTCAGGTTCCTTTTATTGCATTCCAAAGATTTCGGAATAATTTTATGTATAGCAGAGCACAGAAAAGATCGGACTTCGGAATATACATTCATGTTCAAAAATTAAGGATAATTAAGTTCAGGCAAAAAAAGAGACAGAAGCAAAACAAATTTGACTTATTTGTAAAGTCTATTTATTAAACAAAAGGTAAAGAGCAAAAAAGATGCTATATGTTTGACATAATTAATAAAAATTGCGATTTTTACTCCCTGGAGCAAA